CGGGCGCACATGTTTCAGATGGATCGTCATGGGCAACTCTAATTAGGTAAGTATGCCACAATGACGTCCATTTCGCAAGTTCCATGAGGTGTCGGTTTTACCTCTGACAATATATTGTTAAATCTTATTATAAATACTGTTTAAAACCATTAAGTTATAATCTTTATATTATAATGAATAACTTTTGTTATTACAGTTAAAATAGAAAATTTTTAAGTTAGCAATATTAATATATTTAATTTAATAATCTATTTTATTGAAGATATTCTTTTATTTAATGAAAAACATTATTAAGTTATTTATTTATGCTTGAATTTTTTTAAAGTTTTTTTTATTAAAACCTATTGCCTACTTTAAAGATATTATAGGTTACAGAAATTTTACAAAGCAAAAAAGTATCATAAGATAGTTTTAAATTTTTTATTATAACAGTAATTTCACAAATTTATTTATTAATATTTTTTTTCTTAGAAAATAAATAAGATATAAATAATTAATAAAAATAAAATACTAACATGCTGAATCTCGTCCTGTATTTAGGACATTATGCTTTGCGTGAAATCACAAAATATAAAATGTATGAAATGTAGGCTATAATAATCTTTTGTGAGATCACATAAAATATGAAATGTATGCTATAATTATCTTGTGCAAGATCAAATCAAACACGAAATGTATGCATATATAAGTATGAGGTTTATATTGAGCGAGGGAAATGACTAAATGTGGCAGATAAAATAAGCTGGACTAAGAGGGTGCCAGGAAGGATAATTTTTCTGGTTTCTTGCAATTTTGAATATGCTCCTATCACCGATATCACCAATATCATTGACAACTTTTGTATTTTGATTTTGATTATTCTGTAAGAATTCACGTGTTTTCGAATCAATTTTGGTTGTAGATGAATTATCCTAAAAAGAAACAGATTAACGTTAATGAACAACTATATTAATTTAATTATAACAGTTGTTTTAAGTTATTAAATTACCGAATTTTTTTGTGTAAATTTGGATGTTTTTGGAGGGAATTTTGATGGGACTGATAGAGGATCCATTTTTATTATAACAGGTTTAAATTATAATCGCTTTAAATCAAAAGAAAAAATAGATGATTATTTGATTTAGGAATTGCTCGTTAAGATAGTATAATTAATAAATGTAGAATTTAAAAAAGAATTCTAACTTTTTTGTTAACAAAGAATAACCAATAGTGAATTGTTGATGTATAATATAATAATTGTTTATGATTAACGGTAAATTAATGAATAAAGATGTATGATAATTTCTGAATAACTGAATAAAAAATTATTTTCTGGAAACAGAATTTAATATCTTTTTATAGTTTTTTAAAAGAGGTTATTCCGAATATTTTATAAGTTATTGACATGTCAAATTGTGAAGACAAAATAGTTGTCCAAATATTTGTTGTCATGGATTTCCAATTTTAACAATTGTTTGGTTTTATGACGGATATTAAAGTTCATTTTGAAAATACCTTATTTAGTATAAAGAATAGTAAGCGTGAGAAAAAAATCCATCAATGTATTTGAAACAATTTTTCACCTAAAACTGATGATAGCTAACAGATTTTTTAAGAAAAAAAGTAAATTTAAGAGGTCAGAAGACATTAATGTGACTCATTTTCTTTTTGCTATTGTTTTTTTTAGACACGATTAAAAAAAAGGTATGTCTTTGAATGTAACCATTCTTAATTCCAATTTCGTATAATATGACGAAATTGTACTACAGCTCGATCGGAATGTATATAAATTTTATTGTCATTTACAAACAAAATTGCTTCCATAATTAATAAAAATACTATTTTACATATTATATATGGCCTACAATACTATGTATAGTATTTTTTTTTCCTCAAGTTCTTTGTTCATAACGATTATAAAAGGTAATGAAGTAAATATTTGAAGTTTCACAATTGAAAATCCAAGATAAAATTTCGATATAGCTGATAAATAAACAGTATATATCGGGTACGTACGTACGTACGTACATATGAGTTATGTAACTACGGGATTCAATACTAACATTGCTAAATTATATCTACTATCGGAATTGAATCTAATAATGCGAAACTCAGCTACAATACTTGAGAAATTCAATTTTAGTCACATTTAATAGTAGTGATTGTCTGTTTACCGTTATCTTGAAATAAATGGGTTCAATGAACTTACGTATTTCGGACTTTCGGACTATAGTTTCATTAATAGTCATTAATAGTATAGGCAGACATTCAATAAATACCATTTCAAGTTTGTATTTGCAGGTATATGTGTAAATGTAGAAAATTCCAAGTCTGGTCTAGAACACTTTATGAAATGGAAACGGAATTTGCATAAATACAATAAAATTTATATAAAGATAATTATTAATTTATATAATAATAATAATAATTGTTATTTTTTCATTTTCATTATTAATAAATATGTTTAAATCATTTTAAAATTAAGAATTAATTTGCGATGTTAGTTTATACTTGGTTAGCTGATGATCGGATTAATAAAGTTATAATTATTGCATACTTTATTTTAAATTCAGTTAATGAGTATCATGTATAATTGCGCAATACATTTCACGCAACCACTAGAAGAATATACCGCGGTATTACAGTCTTTAAGCATCATTTATATGCAAACTTTAAATTCATCGCTAACGTTAATAATACGTACATACAGTACGTTATTAGTTGCCCAGAGTTACTCTAAAATTATGTAACATAAAAACCGGAATAAAACGGAATAATGAAATGCCTTGTGACCATGGAACCGCAGGATGTGCTTTGTGCAACAAATTCAAAAATGATTATGAAAATGCACTTTGTAATTACAGTTTCAAGAATTATTATTATCGTTATAATAAGTAATGGAATCCACTTTCCAGCCATCGGATATGTAAATGCGTGTGTACGTAGACCATGAAAGATCGACGTAGGTTCACCAATCAGATCTCTTTTGACAATAGATTCTCTATTAAACCACATTCTGCGCACTAACAAAAAAGATTCGCCGTAAAATTTGGTACAAGATAAGCCTTTTTGGTCACAACCCTAACCCTAACGTAAGGTTTTATTACTTTAATTAGTGTAGATCATATAATTGGTGCATATTGTCGATCTTTCATGGTCTCACACGGTAGATTACGTAAGCACATACATGCATTTATGATGACTGATCAATTTATTTTGGTGAGTAAATTCTGTTGTGCGCTGATAGTCGGAAAGCTAAAATTCGGGTTTTTTAAAGAAAATTACACAAGTGACGATAAACTTTACTTGATCATTAATGGTATATATTTAAAGGTATTTATGCAAGCGCACATTTTATTACTACGTATCTTCATAAAATCTATTACTTAAAAATATGTATATAAATATTATTATCATTCACAATATGGTTACATTACGTACGTACGTATATGTGCACGCATGTATATGATAAAGTTCGCCATTTGATGGAACAATAGATAACTTTTTTTTTGTATTGTCGCCAAGTTATTAAGCATAATTATTAAGAATCGATTCTTATGCGTAAATGATTCTTTAACTACACCGCGCCGATCTTAACTAAATTTCATTATAAGGCTGAAATAAGACAATTAACGTTAATTGGATCAACGTACAACGAGCAATTTAATTTTTTTTATACATTTTCATTTTTGGTTACGGTTAAATGAACATATACGACTAATTGAATAATCAATTGCGTTAATCAATTACCAAATTAGTTTGTGGAACTTAAACAAATGAATTCAGATTTATAAATTTATTCCCAAATTAATCCGATTACCGCCGTTTATTGTCGAAATTCCTTTACGCATTATAAATTTGTTCCCAAATTAATCCGATTATCGCCGATATATTGCTTAATTAGCCAAACAAATTTATATAAAAAGATTTATATAAGCATAATAATACCTTTTTCTGAGCATAAAACTCGTGTTCTTGGGAAAAAAAGATTCAATTTATATAAAAAAAACTAACCAAATAAAGGATGCCATTAAACTGTGATAAGCCTATCGCTATTGTTTCCGTATTATTTATATAATAAACATAAACGTTAATAAGTCTCACGGATCCGATACGTAAAACATTGTTCAAAGAATATACCGATACGTATATAAACGCTTAAAGAGCGCTTAACCGTTAACGTTAACGATAATTCTCAAAACTTTTAAATTATATATAAATTCTCTATTGAATCTATTGAAGATTTAATATTCGAATCCATTTGGTAAATTTTAATTTTTCTTGATTGATATTATTGTAGATTAGTAAACATTCTAAAAAAATTTATATTTATATATATATATATATTTTTGTTATTCAAGGAGATTAAATTAGCGAAAAAAATAATACATTTTACACTATCGAATTTATAACGTTTTATTAAAAAAAAATGGAAAAATTTTTGCCCAAACTTTTCGTGAGTAACTTGTTATTTGCATAATATTAACTATACATTAGAGACTGGACTCGAGTTAATTCGGGTCAAGACTGTTTTAAGCTACGAGTTGACTCGAGTCATAATCATTAAATAAATTACTAAATTTAATCTAAATTTCTTAATAGACTGTTTCGGATATTGATAAATTTCCAACTTCAAATATCGGAATTGGAAAAACAAGAGAAATAGTTCAAAATTCAAGAAATTCTATTGAATCTCAGAACCGTAAAGATATTCAAAAAGTTGAAATTCAACAAATTCCACGTTTTAAAGAAGCATATGATCTACCTATCTTTAGCGCTCATAATCCTGGTTTTTATGTAACAAATATTTGAAAACTGCGTTGTTGATTATTATGTTCATATTGTTATCGAACACATCAACTTTATTATTTGTATATACTTATATGTTTAAACAAAAATTATTTCTGTATTATACTTATATGCTTACGACGAAATGGTTAATATAAAGAACAAGCCTATTTTATCTACTGATCACAATTCTAACCCGTTGTACGCATTAAATTAAATAACAATTTCATTTCAGATCGATACTAAATCGATACTAAAACTTGTTCTTTATAAAAATCAAAATTGCATAAACTAGTTTAAAATTCTCAATAAAGAATCAGGATTCTACTGAGAACACAACTAATATTCTTTCGTGTGATTTTTTGTAAAATTTTATATAATATAATAAATCTTTCATATATTGTTTGGAACAAAGACTAAAAAAATATAATACAGTATTAACTTGAAATCATTATAGCTAACTTTGTTTAAATATTACTATATTTTTAAATGGTCATCTTTAGACACTACTTAATATCTTTTTTTATTCTCTGCTACCTTTATGCATCTTTAATAACAGATTTCAAAATCATCTTTAGCTGTTTTTTTAAACACTACTCAAGTATTTCTCAAGTTGGCGACGTAGTTCTCCGATCACGAATCGGATTTCGAGATTAGGTGTAATGTAACACAACATTCGTTCCGCTCATACGTAACTCAAAATATGCATAAGAAACCACCTTTTGTCCTTTAACAAAAAGTTTTCATTAGACAATTTTACTATTAAAATTACTCCTCTCCACCTCTTAATATTGACCCTAACCTTAACTGTTAACCTTACCGAATTTTAAGAATTTTGTCTGCACCATCAATCTGTCCTTAACATTAATGTGAACACCTAACTCTAAATGATATACAATATTTTATAAATTTATCGCTTTACGGACATTTCACGCCGTGTGCGTACCTTATAAGCAGAAGTTCAATTTAGGGTGTTCTCAAGCGTCTTAATCAATTGGACAAAAAGTGTTGGTGAATAAATTTTACTTAGCGGAAAATAATTTAAGGGTGCTCTCAAGCACCTAAATTAATAGATCGGTGCTCAATTTTTAATTAGCGGAACATAATTTGGATGGTCAAATAAGCTCGTTATCGCAATGAAAAAAAAAGATGGTCGAGACCATCTTTTTTTATCATAGAGTTGTGTTTATTGGCTAAAATTTAAGATCCGCATTTCGCACTATGAACCTTCAGCAAAATTGCCGTAAGAATTACCTCAATTAATTATAGTGCTTGTGCACGATCTCGTTTACTAGCTGATCATATTGAGTGAGATGCTTGAGAGCACCCTAAGGGAGTCAAAAGTGTTTAACATCGTAATGAATATTTAGATAAACATTGTAGTTTAATTAAGTTTATTATGTAATCAATAAATTTTTATCAGTAAAAATTATTACACGAGTTTATCATTTCAATTTACAAACATTTTACGGCAGACCACCTTTTTTTTATCCTTGGGTTGACAAAATTTACAATTAATTGAGTATTCAATGAGATCGCACAAGTAACCTTATCATGCAACCTTATTATGCAATAACCGAATGTTAACGAACTAAATGTAGTGATAACGACATTTGATAAAATATTAATGGATCGCTCAAGTATCAATTAGGTTTCTTATTTTGATTAATTGTAGTAAATGAGCATCGTTACGTTTATTAGCTAAGTGCATAGAGAATAACGTTTGAGCAAACTTTGATTACTTCATAATTTGCTTATTCGATTTTATTAATTAATTATAAATTTACAAAATTTTTAATTAATGTAAATTACAAAAAAAATATTATTTCAAAAGTAAAAAATGAAAAACCATCTAAATAAAAAAAAAAATCAACATATTATTCAACAAATAACCTATTATATACAAAAAAAAAATCAAAATTAATAAATAGTCAAAAAATATGCTAATATTATTATCATATACATGACTTACTACTGTTTCTGCCAAACACTTCTAAGAAACTGGTACCTCCACAATAATAGACAACATATAGTATTAACATTTAATATATATTCACTAACTTTAAAAAAAAATTAAAAATATAAAATACAGAAATATGTTCAAATTTTCTTAAAAATTTTGAACATATGCTAATACTCAATGTTACATTCACATATAAGACCAAAACTAGTTATGTCAATTAAGATAACCAATTTTTCATGCAAAATCAGTAAACTTAATGAACAGTAACAACCTTATGTTTTTATTAAAAATGCAATAGAAATTGTTGTGGTTCAATAAGATGTAACAGTTTCTACCACATATCTAGTTTTCACAAACAAAATACTGAAATACAGATCTTTCTCTTATTTCATTGTCATCATTGTTTTGTTTTATCCCATCATCGTTTCAAACAAAAATACTTGTTTTTTTTTTTAAAAAAAAAAGGTATTGTAATATAAATGAAAGTGAAATTAAGCAAAAACGAAATAAAACATCCAAGAAGAGTCGGACCAAAATAAAGTCATATCTGGTTAGGAGGGTGTTGTTTATATCAATAATACAATTTATACAATATGTAGATCAATATGTAATTGGACACAACACCCTAAAAAATCTTACCCAGGTGCGCCAACAAAATTTCACTATCACGTGACTATTGAAAAATTCTTTAAAGTTCATTTAGGTTTGGGTTAGAGTTTTTAATAAGATGAGGCATTAAGGGTATTTATAGTAAAATTGCTCAAGTAATTTTTTTTGTTAGAGCACAAAAAATGGTTTTTTATGCAAATTTAGAGAAATAAGCGATTTTTGAAACGAACGTTTTGTTTGATCTTCCTGATCGTGTAACGTTACATTAAAATGAGACTTGTTATTGGATTATCATCACATGAAAGTGAAAATGTGTTGGCGCAGCTGGAGTAGTTCCCTAAAAATGTCTAATCGCGTAATAAACATGATGGGATCCTTAATTTCGTTGGTTGCAACCAAACAAATACGTGCTATTTTCACTACCATGATAAATTGACATGAGATCATTAATGTAAAAATTTCCCAGACACATGATCCATGCGATAGGGATAAATTCATGTACCGACTGGTACGTACATTAGGGATAATTTGTTACTAACGCTAATAATTAAATTCTCAATCGCCTTTCTCAGTGGTTGATAAAATGATCTGATTGGCTGAAAAAATAGATCATTTCGGTCAAAAAACTTGGGCTAACGCTAACAACCATCCTGTTTTTTATAGTTACTCTGATTGGCTGAAATTTAAAATCCTCGGGAAAATTGTTATAAGGATCTCTTCAATTAATTTCGATTAATCGAAGACAGGGATGATTATCTGCAAAATAATTTTTTTTTGCAAATTTCTGTAATTATCTGTAATAAAATTTTTGCAAAGACAAGTGAATTCAAAAGTTTCTGCAAATTCTACGGTATTCTGCATTTTGCAGAAAATCATCGTCCCTGACTGGAAATTATGCAATTTGTTTTAGAACGATTCATGACAAACTATCGAATCACATAATTACTAATTATTTCATATTAATTTTTGTGTCACTGATAGCTCTCAACGAACCCAAATCACACTAAAGCCGTCTCCCTCAATGTTTACCAACCGATCTGATTGACGAAAAAATCCCGGAGCTGCAACCACAAAGTTTTTTCATAGGGCTGCTTTGATTGGATAAAATTTGAAATCCAAATGAATTTTTGCAATTCGTTTTTCGATTAACCGCAATAATCACCACCCGCAACATCTCGATAATCACATTGATGAAGCTACTTGAGAACACCCTTAATGTTGTATTATTTATACAGTTTAGAGCACTTTTTTAAAAAAATGAAACCCAACCATAATAAAGTAAAAAAAAACTATATATAAGGTTTCATTAAAGCTGTAGGACTCCATAGTCAAAAATAAGATCTAATTCTTGTCCATTTTAAAATGTTAGCTTAGTAAATATGTTGTTTTATCGGGTTTTGAGAGGTTATTACTATACTAGCTTTTTTAAATGGACGAGAATTAAATCATATTTTTGGCTATAGAGTACTACAGCTCTTTACTGCTTTTTTTTTTTATTTCATTATTACTAGGTTTCGTTTTTTTAAAAACAATATAAATAATGTAAAATTAAATCGAATTTATTAGCCAATCAGACAAACTTTTGACTGAGTTTGTATCTAGTAGATAAGCATACAATATTGGGCAGATTTGCCCAATATTGATGTTATCATATACTCCCCGCGAAAATATATCAGGTTACACGAAATTTAAGGCCACGCGACCTGAGTAACCAAACCAGTATCTACGGACATAGATACCAAAAATTATTTTCATGCCCTATCGCTATATAATTTTTTGTATCTGCCAATCAGATAATCACAAATATCAGGTGCTAACTAAAACCATTAGCTAACGTTAGGGCTTGAAATAATTTTCGCATAGATACTCACAACTTACGTGAATCAGTACATGTCCGTAGACGGTCCATGTGATTGATTGTATATTATTGGTTGTATAAATATATCTCTGTAAAACACCATATAAATTAAAGGATCTCTTAAAACAAAAACCTTTTTATTGCTCTAGTATCTTTCATAATATAAACTTTTTTTTTTGGTGTTAAGGTGAGGTCAGATATTCTTTTTTGTGTACATAAGTACATATAAATGTTGAAATAAAATGAATTCGAATCTGCTTATAATCTGTAATAACAATAAAGTAATTTATTAAAACTTTCAATCGCTAAGGTCCAGAAAGACCTAATTATTTATAAAAAAAATTAACGTATTTTTATTGAAGATAATATATGAGATATTAATACAAAGAGATTTTTTTCTTTAATTTAAATTTTTAAAAGTTTCAATAGAGCAAAAACATGTTTATAATAGATATTTTTTAAAAGAGTTTTTGCACGATTGGCTATTTTAAAATCCAAAAAAGTTTCTAAACCATAAAACTATGACTCATTCTTTATTAGCTTAGGCAAAACTTATATCTTTATCATTAAAAATGAAGAAGTAACGATTTAAAAAAAATAAATTTTACTATACAAATTTTGGAAAAGTCTTAGGTTATAAAAAATTCCATATTACAATTTATAATATATCGATATGATCTAACATAGATCACATCCACGTATAAGTTATAAATCATAATTACCTATAATGAACACTAGTAATTTTACTCTTCGAATTCGTAAATGTTTACTATTTAATTTATATTTTATTGGCGTTATGATATTTAAAACAAGCTATACTCAGGAATATTATTATTTCATTTTATACGTCAATCATCTAGGCTCATCAAATTTTGATTTTTTATTGATAATAGTTTTTATAATTGCAAAGATTTTTTATTTATCAATTTTGGATACAAACAATTTATAATTGCAAAAATACGTAAATAAATTTGATGAAAAAAATAACATGTATAAATTGTTTTCCCAAATCAAGTTTCTTAAAGTTCTTTTTTTAAATCTTTATTAAGAACAGAAATAGTGAAAAAAAAGACTAATCATGAATAATATTTTGTTTTATAAGAGTATCAGTATTTATGAAATTATGGTGATACGAAGGCAGAGTTGAATTTAGTAATAAAATTATTAATGAAATTATGTTTTTTAATTATTGAATATTATCACCTATTTCTATTGCTTTTTTAAAATCAGCAAATGATTCTTCTTCATAATCATTCATCATGAGGTAAGTTACACCGCGATTTCTCAATGTCCAAGAACTATTTGGTTCAATTTTTAATGATTTATTAAAATCAGCAAGAGATTCTTTATACATTGCCATTTCACGAAAAGTTGCTCCACGAATACGTAAGGCAAAAGCATTGTCAGGTTCAATTTCTAATGACTTATTTAAATCAATCAAAGATGCCTCATATGCATACATCATGAAATATGTTGCTCCACGAACACGTAATGCAAATGCATCGTTTGGTTCAATTTTTAACGATTTATTTAATTCTATAAGAGATTCATCATATCTTTTCATCAAACGATAAGTTTCTCCAAGTTCGCTAAATGAATCCACATAATTTGGATTAATTTCCAAAGACTTTTTTAAATCTATAACCGATTCATAATATTTTCCTATCATGCGATAAGTTATAGCTCGATTTGTTAATGTCCATTCGTCATTTGGCATGATTTCCAAAGATTTACTTAAATATATAATTGATTCATCATATCTTTTCATCTTGCGACAAGTAATTCCAAGGTATCCTAAAGTTATAGCATCATTTGGAGCAATTTCTAAAGATTTATTTAAATCTATACGTGATTCCTCATATTTATTCATCAAACGATAAACTTCACCACGTTCACTTAGAGCACCAACATAATTTGGTTCTAACTCTAATGAAAGATTTAAATCCTTAAGTGATTCTACATATTTGTTCATTAAATTATATGTGCCACCACGATATCTCAGGGCTATTGCATTATTTGGACAGATTTCCAATGATTTATTTAAATCTTCAAGTGATTCATTATATTTATCCATCATACGATATGTTGCACCTCTAATTCTCAAACCAAATGCATTTATAGGATCAATTTTTAATAATTTATTCAAATCTTCAAGTGCTTCATTATCTTTTTTCATCATATAATAGGTTTCACCACGAACTCTTAAAGTATCAACATTATTAGGATCTATTTCTAATGATTTATTTAAATCAACAAGTGCCATTTCATAGATTTCGTTGTTATTTAATTTAATTTCTGATGAAACTTTTAACTTTGCAAGCCATTTATCATAATTACCCAGTACACGATAAATAGCTCCTCTGTTCTTCAATTCAAATGCATTATCTGGTTTAATCTTTAATGATTTAGTAAAATTTGCAAGTGCTCTTTCATATCTACTAATCATTTGATATATTGTTTTATTTGTTACTATCCAAGCGTTATGTGATTCTATTTCAAATGAATCATTTAAATCTATAAGAGTATCATCATATCTACCCATTTTATATAAAGTTTTTCCTCGATTTCGTAAAGTGAATGTATTATTCGGATCAATCTCTAATGATTTTGTAAAATCAATAATTGATTCATCATAATTCCCTAACATGTAATAAGTTAATCCACGATTTCTTAACCCTGATGCACTGTTAGGATAAAATTCTAAAAATTTATTTAAATCAATGAGAGATTCATTATATAAACCTAACATACGATAAGTTGCTCCACGATCATTTAAAGCTATTACATTACTCGGATCAATTTTTAATGAATTATTCAAATCTTCAAGAGATTTTTCATATATATCCATCTCATAATAAGTTACTCCACGATAATTTAATGTAAACGTATTATTATTATGATCAATCTCTAATGATTTATTTAAATCTTCAATTGATTCTTTAAATTTACCAATCATACAATAAGCAATACCTCGATAACTTAAAGTAGTAGCATCATTTGGTCTAATTTTTAATGATTCATATAAATCCAAAATCGATTCATGATATCTATCCATTAAGAGATAAATTAATCCACGATATTCTAATGTAATTGCATTATTTGGTTCATTTGTTATTAATTTGTTTAACTCTTCAAGTGATTTTTCATATCCATTAGTTATATAATAATTTAATTCATGATTCTTTAATGAAAATTCTCTATTTTCGTTCCTTAATGTAAAAACTAAAAGTATAATGTATGTATGTAAAATTAATAACTTGATTAAAAAAAATTTTTTTTTGATTAAACTTGTTAAAAATTTTTTTAGATAAATACTTACGTCGTTCTTTTGGTTTTTCCATCTTCAAAATAAGTAATTTGAATTGTCAAAATAATATTGTGCATCTATATACGTAATTTTTTGCCGATTTGAATGATTGTGTAACGATGCAGCTGTACGTAAGTACTTTACTTTTTAAGTGCGACAGATCAGCGATGTAGTAATTAAGTCAAGTGATCTAAATATGTCCCATTAATTTTCATCATCACGTGACAGTTGGATTGCGCACAAAACATTCTTCAGGTTTTTGTTAAAGCATGAAAGGTGGTAAGCGATTTTTGAAAAAACGAACGGTTTGTTTTGATCTTTCGACCATGTAACGTTACATCAGAGCAAGACTCACTATTGGATAAGTTATGTAGAACATCACGTGATAGTAAAATTTTAATGGTGACGCAGGGGTAGTTATGTCAATATTGGAAAATGACTACGTAGTATTGGTCAATCAATATGATGCATATAAAAAGAGATATCCAATCAAAAGCACGTATTTGTACAAAAACATTTAACTTGCCGCTTAATAATACGCTCTGTTCCTGGTAAAAAGGACAATTATTTAAATAAATTTTATTACGTTACCTTTCAACAATTTCGTTACCATTCAACAGTTTCGTTACCTTTTAAAAGTTTCATCATCTCTCGTCAGTTTCGTCACCTTTCATCAGTTTAGGAAGACCTACGTGAAAAGCTATATCACATATAATTAACTTTACAGTTCAATATAGTCGTATGAATTAGAATTCCACACCATGAAAAGTCTAAAGATTAAGTTAGAAAACTGTTAAAATTCTTTGAGCAAGCAAATATTTGATTTACCACACAATTTCTTTATCGGCTTCCCGTCAACAATAATATTGAAGCTTGTTAAGCTCTTTTTTCTGTTAACGACATACTTATATTTTGGATAACCTAAAAAAATTATGTATTCAATAAAATCTTACCTTATTCAAAATACATATCACAATTATTACCTTTATGCATTGCAGCTATAAATCTTTTAACCTTTTCTTTGTCTATACTTATGTACAGAAAATCGTCAAGAAACCATAGCATAAGCTATAAATTCAATTTTTGGCCATGAACACTAACCCTTTGAAATCGATATATTCACTTATGCCATCATCATGCTTCACAAAAGGAAGCACTTCCCATTCCATCTCACTATAATAAAACTATGTATTAAATGATTATAAGTCCTCAATATATAAATATCAAGAAAAGAACCAAATTATCAATTGTGTCAATACGAACCTACAAAGCAGTGTCGATACAACTGACCCCTGTGAAATACCAGTACACTGCCTATAATGCTTGTCTCCAATCTATTAAAAAACATAGCGTATTGTATTTTATATTGCAAATTACAGGAAATGAGTGCTGCCAGGGATAACCCCTAATAAATTAGATAAACCATATCTGGCACAAGATATAATCCAAAGTCAGATGTGCATTTTCCCTTGAAAGCACTCCTATAATATAGCGGTTTCAGAACCATATTTTTATTAAATTATACTTGATATGCTTTCCTCGTTATCTGTATCGAGAAATAAATATGATCAGCAAATTCCAGGAAATCCCTTAAATATACCTGATGTGAAAATTGGCGATACTTTTTTTGGAATAGCGTATAAGGTCCATCTATACACAGTTAGGATCTAATAAAAGTATGGATTTATATTTATTTTTTATTTTTTTATTTTTTATTTTATAATTTAGTTTAATTTAACGCTGGATGACTTTGGTTTCTCTTTTATTCAATTTACACAACCAACACAAAAAAAGTATAACCAAGAGACTTTAATACTTCAATGCCAATTTAGCTATTGGATCATAATCATTAAAAAAGCAAAAAAGTTTTTTTTTATTTTCGTATTTTTGGTACTATATCTAGTAAAAGAACAAGAACTGATTGTTTGTATAACTGAATAATAGTAGAAATTTTATACATTTTTCAAACTAATAAGTGAATAAAAAAAACTGATGAAAAAACTCACTTGAGTAATACAAAAAGGTTTTTTTACTATCTATATTTATTATAACATTAAACTGAATAATCTCAGAAATCTTTTTTTTTCTTTTTTTTATTACTAATGAAAAAAATTTTTATGAATTTCTACTTAAACATAAAATTTCTGAAGACTACTTAACATATATCGGTTTTCTACAGTAGCATAATGTCTATTTGTTTATTAGATTATATAGTTAGTTTGTTAGCTAGACAAAATTAAGCTTCTTGATTTAAATTTTACAAACTTTAGGCGAAAGTACAGTATCTATTTTTAGACTAGTAGAATCCTAAACATCAAAACTGATCAAGCTAATATTGATGCATTATTAGTTTTTAATATTAGAATTAAGTAGAAAAAATATATACATTATTAGATTTTAATATTAGAATTGGGTATAAAAATTAATTAATATAATTTTTATCCAATCACAGGCTTATATTATATTAAACTCTAAATTCCTGATTTCCAGATTTCCAATGATGTGTGATCTATGAATTTGATGGTCACAGTAATTTGAAAAGTGCTTTAAATTAACATTGACTGCCACCACTACAATGAACAATGCCACCTGCTTGGCTGGTGTCTATGATGGTGTATATCGGCGATGAACAAGAATTATAATCGGGGGTAGTCACTAAACATACAGTTGCATTTGCAGGTGAAAACCACCTCCATCCAAGGCAACTCGAATTTCTAGTACAATAAAGACAACAATCCACCGCATTAGTAATAATAGCACCATAAGGAGCATTATAACTACCACCAGCAAGATCAAGGTTATTCCACCCCGGACTGCCACTTGATTGACAACAAGTTGGAGTTGATGTTGGTGTTGGAGTTGGTGTTGGAGTTGGTGTTGGAGTTGGTGTTGGAGTTGGTGTTGGAGTTGGTGTTGGAGTTGATGTTGGAGTTGATGTTGGAGTTGATGTTGAGCATTTGGGTTTTATAGACGGAATAGAATGTTCATTATCATATTTGTTAATATGTTTGTTAATATGTTTATGAAAACGAGCATCAACAGTAATAGATGATGCAAGTAAAAATGAAAGAACAATTAGAAAAAGACTAAAAGTTTGGAGATTCATATTAATTAAATTGTATTTTTTTTTAAAAAAAAATCAAAATTTATTAAAATTTCAAAATTAAAAACTTTTCGCACTTTATGCTTATATAGAAAACTTTAGTTAATTTAAATAGCTTGAGTATATTACTAATATATAAACGCACGTACGTATACACTCTTATGAAGTTAATCTGTTCAGTCATTAAAGCTTGCAGATCATGCAATGCGTGTTATACGTATAACTCGATAACTGATAAGTTTCTTGATTGAATGCTATTATTTTGCAGAAATACCGTAGAGCATTGCATATACGTAGTACCATTTATATAATTTTTAGTCATCGCTTTATACTTGGTTAAATTAGGTATTTAAATAATAAATACAGTTGGTACTGTCTAAATGTGTACTATCTAATTGTATATACTGCTTAACTGCATACAATTTCCGTCAACAGACCAGATAAATGCATAATTTTTTAATTGCATAATGCATAAAAATAATTAAATTTGTATTTAAAGAATTATAAAAAAATTTGATTGGTTAATTTTATCATGTAGTATGACTAGGATATCAGAAACTGATAAATGTCCGAAGCAATTAGTTAACATATCTGGCTAAGGCGGCCGATTTATCTGGCCAGTAGATTGTTTATTTTTGTAAATATGCCGAGATATTTAGTGTATCTAAATCGGAAAGTTTGATAGAATATTGCTAACAGACATTGTATGAAATGTCGAAGTAGAGTGTCTTCCGCTACGCTTCGGACAATAAATAAATTTTAATTGAATGGTTTTATATTACACAAAATTTTAATACATAGTATTTCTAGTTGCATATACTGCTTAAATACCTGTCCATGGTTTTGGCGAATTTAGACAGTACCAACCAAACAGATGATATTTACTTAATAGGTAATCTAATGCTTAAGCATGCACCACATTAAAATTAAGGGTATACCAGGAACGGAGTTTGTACAACGTACAACGTATGTATACCAGGAACGGAGTTTGTACAACGTACAACGAAGTGTATGGTTTATAGGCGTGGATGTACAAAATCTTGGATCTGATTGGATGACCGATCCTGTGACTATCTCATGATTTCTGAATTTGTACGTTATATAAATTTTTTGCATCGATATCATTAAAGTGTTTAGGCTTTCTTATTTAATCATGGATTTGAACACGGGCCCTTACTATACCAGGAACGGTGTATGAAATACGTACATAGGGTATGGTTTACTCATGAGTTAAAATGGTGTGGCGATTCTTAGCATATGATTGGGTTATCCTTCATCGTGATCTTGTGTAGCACCCCGAACAATGCTTTAAAAGGTAGGTATCAGGAATGAATGCAAAGTCTTGGAATTGATTGGTTCGCGTGACTTATTCATGTTCAGTAAAAAAAAAAAACTTATAAATGAGCATATACATCTGTAAAATCAAAGATGCAATAACAAACAATAGTAAAAATAATTTT